AAAAAAATTGCAAGATTATTTGAATCTTGCTAATACGGCAGTTATCTACAATGGAGTTCAGGTTTTGATTAGAAAGAGTAACCTACAAACAACTTTCATTCCTTGCTCTGTTCACAGTTTATTAAATTATCGTATACTAAAAAATCCTATTTTAGAAATATTTAAAAACTATACTACTTGCTCAGCTGGAGCCCAGGTCGTTGGAAAACTTTTAAGAAGAAGACATTGCTATCATTACATGAAATTTCTATTACGCGTTGGAGCTCTAGAATTCACGCAGTCAACTCGCTTACAAAAATTCAAGAGAGATCACGAAAGCATTACATCTTCTAAAAAAGTTAAATCTTTCAGTTGAAATTAATAATGAAGTGCATTATATGATTAAGTGGATGAATTGCTTTTGAGTATTTTTACTGCTTTTTGGGGAATATTTGTTTGTAGTTAAAGACGTGAGTCTCCAATCCGCTCAACCTTTTGAAGGATCTTGATCGAATCCGTTTGATAGAGAAAACAGATTCTGCAAAAAATTTGCAATTCAATAAAATCATGTTTGTTGAAATAAGATTGCAAAAAAAAAATATTCCAGAATGAAACTACGTGTTAAAACCACGAAGAACCATCCAAAAGTTTCGAATGTAAGGTATTCAGAGTTGTACTGGACAATCTTACTAGCCAAATGAGAAAAGATTTATAGTAATTTAAGAGAAATGTAACAAGTGTTCTTTCTTTTTGTCTTAACAGAAGTTTTTAAATGACGAAGAGCTACGTTAAGAATCTTAACGTAGTTCTTCGCTAAACTCTATCCAGCAGACTTGAGTAAAAATAAATTTTCCGAGTTTTCTTTGAAAATAAATTAAAAAATAAGTGTACTAACTTGTTTGCTATTTATTATTTTAAGACTTGAAGTATGATTGAGCATCCAATAAACTTTTGAACATAAGCATCACAAAAACTTTGCGATGGACAAAGGTATAAGATGGATTGAACTTGCTATTTATAAGCCGAGTGTTCTCTTAATTTTACTTGTAAACTAATGTAAACTACTTGCAAACTAGTGGTAGAAATTGGTTTTATCATTTCGTAAAATATATACGTAATAAAATTTAAATTAAATATCGTAATAAATATCGTAATAAAATGCGTAATTCGCTAATAAAATTCTTAAACAACAACAACAACAACAATAACAACAATAACAACAACAAAAAGTAGAGTGGTAACATTAACCAAAAACGTTTCTCAAATTTTAAAAATTTCTTTTTTTGTTATAAACTTAAATGAACTTAACGAACTTGTCGTACCTTTGAATACTTTTTGAAAGGTATTCCATACTTTAGGACCTCGATATGAAATGCTATATTCTGAATATTTATTTATTATCCGAGGCAGTTTATATGTGTTTAACATATTTGCTCTAAAATTATAGTTTTCATTTTTATTTAATTCAAACTTGTTATTAAAGCTTATAGGAGAGATATTGTAATTGTAACGATACATGAAAGTTAAATGCTGATAGACATTTATTTTAAACACATTCATCGTTTTCATATCACTCATTAAGGGTTTAGCGTGTTCGCGCCTATCCTTATAGTAAATGATTCTGCAAGAATGTTTTTGCAAACTATACAGTTTTTTAAGCTTTGATGTTTGAGTACTTGCCCATGAAATGTTTGCATAGCAGATGAAGCTTTATTAGCCCAAAGTAGATTAATTTCAGACTTTGTGTATTGACGTAAGGGCGAACTCGATACATCAAACCTATGATTTTGGTGATTTTTGACTGGATTTATATTATATGAGGGAGCCAGGATAAATTTTCATCAACAATGATTCCTAAAAATTTTATACTGGATTGCTTTTTAATTAGTTTATCATTTAGGAATAGTTTAGGCAATTTGAGAGGAAGATTTTCCTCTTGTATTTTTTTATGGAATAGTATATAATTTGTTTTCTCAGCATTAAGAGAGAGTTTGTTAGCTTTAAACCAGTTGTTTACTTTAACTAGTTCTATATTCATGTCAGCATATAATGTTTTGATATCATTGTTGGTAAAAAGTAGATTCGTGTCATCAACAAACATGACTGAATTCAGTTTTAAGGATGCATTACAGAAGTCATTCATATATATATATATATATATATATATATATATATATATATATATATATATATATATATATATATATATATATATATATATATATATATATATATATATATATATATAATAAAAAAGAAGTGGACCAAGAATTGAGTATTCTGGAGTATTAAATGTTTTATGTGGAGTCCCTGCGGGACTCCACATAAAACATTTAATACTCCAGAATGGACATTATGTAAATATTGTTTTCTGTTGGTAAGATAGCTTTTAATCCAATAATAGGTTTTATTAACTATTCCGTAATGTCTTATTTTATCTAAGAGAATGCAATGATCCACTGTATCAAATGCTTTTAATAAATCAAGAAACACTCCTAAAGTAAACTTATTATTTGCAAAACCATTAGTTATTTGATTTACTATTTCAATAATTGCATGCTCATTTGAAAGATTTTTTGAAAGCCAAACTGATTTGGGTAAAAAAAATTGTTTTTAATAAAGTAATCATAGATTCTATTATAAATTACACGTTCGAATAGTTTTGAAAATACAGAAAGTATTGATATGGGTCAGAAGTTTGTAATGTCAGAATGATCATTACATTTGCATAAAGGAGTTACTTTTGCTAATTTAAGTACATTGGGAAAAATTCCAGAATTCAACGAGAGCTTTAGTATATGTATCAGAGGTCTATTAAGGCTGTGTTTGTTTGCAATAACTATATCAATAGGTATCTCATCAAACCCTGATGCTTTTTTTTTTTTTAAAGAGGGAAAAGCTGCCTTAAATTTGTAATAGCTTAATTCGTAATCGTGCAACGTTATTCGTGGGTTTTTAAAAAATTCAGATGTTGGTATTATTTTTTTGACAAGGTTCGCACCAATAATAATAAAATATTTATTGAATTTATTCGAGATGATCGTTGTTTTCAAAAACAATTCGTTTAGGTAGCGAAGGTGAATTTAGTTTTTCTCTTCCCATTATTACATTAAGGATGGACCATGTTTTTTTGCTATCAAATTTACATTTGTTAACTTGATTACTGTTATATTTTTATTAAAATTTTAATATTTTTAAATTAAAACTTTTTTTATTATAACTAATTATGTATTTGCCAATATTTACTTTATAGTCAGTAATTGTGGTCAATAATTGTATCTTAGCTGATAATTTTTATTGGTTTGTTGAATTGGTGTGAGTATGTTAGAAGGTAACAAATTTTACATAATTATTTACAAGCTTTACATTTCACAAAGACATAAACAAGTTCTCTAAACACCAAAAAAAAAAAAAAAGAAAGTCTAGTACGACAATGCAAAACAAGATGGTTTATATAAAGTTTTTGATGTAAAAAGTAACGTTAAGTTATTATTATCAAATAGGAGGGGTGACCACAACATTTCATGCCCATTCCTATCCTAGGTTTATAAATAGGTATATAAAGTTTTTGATGTAAAAAGTAACGTTAAGTTATTATTATCAAATAGGAGGGGTGACCACAACATTTCATGCCCATTCCTATCCTAGATTTTAATAAATATCTCACAAAGTTAATAAACTCCAAAATATCATATTAAAAACGATCACATATTTAAGTTTATATTTTATAAAGAATAATAATTTTAAAATTCTTATTATTCTTTATATTTTATAAAGAATAATAAGAATTTTATAAGCTCGCTTACTTTTTCGTGTTTCATGCATAATTTCTAAAATTTTTATTTGTTTTCACTTATTTTCTCTCAAATGAATTATATTACCATGATTAAAAAATGTTCCAAATTTCATGCTAAAATGACTAGTAAATTTTGAGTAATTACAAAAAATCTATTATTTACAATTTTTTGCGGGTAATTGAGGCAAAGATTTTCAAGTTTGAAAGCATTTTTGAAAATTATTTGAAATTATGTATTTATGTTGTAAAATTGAGAGTTTGCTCTAGTTCCAATAAGATTTTGATATATTTCTTGGGGGTACCACTACATAACTTTTAGCTTTGATTGCTGTATTTATTACCGTTAATAAGAAATGGGTTCAATCAAAAAAACACGTAATTAAAAACTTCTATACAATAACAATGATGTTTGAGCTTTTACTTTTTGACAGCTCGTTATAATTGTGCGGTTTTTTTTTTTTTTTTTTTTTTTTTTTTTTGAGTGGTAACAATAACTATTACCGCATTCTAATTGTTTTCATTCTTTAATTAATAATAAAAACATTTTGAGTGGATTGAAGTTAATTTAATTAGCAAAATTTACATAAAAAAGTTAGACTGATCCATTTTTGTGGTTGATCCATATTTGTGGAATAACTGTAACACTAACTAATATTTATAAACAATAATAATTGAACTAATATTTATAAACAAATGTTTCAATATGAACTTGATATCAATAATACTTTCCAAATTTAAGATATTTTAAATATGAATGGAATTTACTAGCTATTATTAAAATTATGTGTTTTTAACCAAATTTCGTAGTCATTGTTTAATTGTTTAAAAAAAATATTACTAAAAAAAGAAATGAGCGTAAAACATGCAGTTTAATTTCTAGAGAAAAATATCTGATTCTAATCGGATCCTTTTAGAGATAAATACTTGTATCTTTTGAAAGATATAAATTCAGTGCCTAATAGTTTGAATAATGATTCATTAAGCATTGAAAATTAACCTTATTCAACAAATCTGTCTAACTGCTTGCTTTGATGACAAAAATGTGTAATCTCTCGCTTCAAATAGCAACGTGGGAAATTAACTACTTTCTATAATACGTCGCGTCAAATATCTCTTCAGCGATTTATTTTTATTTAGAAGTAATTTGAACAAAAAACAAACACTTGTACATAGTAGGCTTGCTTATCAAGCTTTAAAACTACTTGCATGTCAAATTAAATTTTACTTAAAAAAAATATGTTCGGTTATTTTCTAAAATAATTTATTATACAAGTTTTTCTCATTGAGAAAATTTAAGTGTCAATAATATGTGACGCTCTGAATCTTTTAGGTCGTTACGGTCACCACATTTTATGCAGCTATCATCACATTTTACGCAGCTGTCATCACATTTTATGCAGCTGTCATCACATGTTATTACTAAACTTATTCACTTCAGATTGAAGCATATTAAAAAATATTGAAAGTATTTAAAAAATTCGTTTCGTTTTATTAGAAAATTTGATTGAGATTAGAATTAGATTTAGATATTAACTTGGACGCTTTTATGCAATCTTGTTCCAACATATGTAATTTTTGTTTTCGATTATCTGCTTTTTCTCTTGCCTCTAAAATGCGTAATGAATTGTCTATTTCACACATTGAAGCCTGGAACCAAAACATAAAAAATCAACAGAAATGACTTTTTATATGAAAAGTAAAAGGAATAAATAAGTATGAAAACAACAAATAAATAACTTGTAATAATAAAAATATATGACCTATAAGTTAATAATGAAAACTCACAGGTCTTTCTTTGCGAACAAAAGATTTTCTGTCTGTTTCTCTTAATTGACACTCGTCGTTTAAAGACATATGATGGCATCTTCTTGGATTACTAGTTCTAACGTTTGAAGTTTTGTCTTCTGTGCAGCCTGCTTGATTACCGTTTACTGAAGAGTAGATTTTCCTGCCACATAAGCATCTTGAATAACCTGATAACAATAAAGTATTGATTAATTGTAATTGGTCAATACAAATGTAACAATACAATATATTATAATGTAAAAATGTAACCCAAAGCATAGACTTGTAGGCAGGGCTGTACCGACGGGGGTGTGAGGGGTGGACACCCCCCCCCCCCCAGATTTGCAAAATTCTGTCGGTTTTTGACGGAAAATTCAAAAATTAGGATTTCTGTCGCTTAAAAAAAAAAAAAAAAAAAACCTCTTGTCGTTAAAATTACATTTTTTCATTTTTATCCCCCACCCCCCTACCCCACGTCTTTATCGTTCGGTACGGCCCTACTTGTAGGGCAAAGTTGCATAAGTTAAGCATGTTAACAGGGTATTGTATTTTGCAGCCAAAATATTATTATATTTATATTTTTGCAGATTATTATAATTTAGTTTTTCCTTATAAAGAATATAAAAAAAAAGTTCATTAAATAAAAAAAATTTTATACCGAAAATTGCGTTATTTTCAACACACCCAATCATTTCATCTTGGGAAACTAGTTTCCAAATAGGAGCTTTTTTAATGGAACTCAAAAAAATAATCATAAAATAAATAAAAAATTGAATCTTTAAGGACTATACTGAAATTAAAAAGTTATTTTTCAATCTTAAAAAAAAAAAAAAAATTAGAAATCTTTCCTATCTCTTAAAAAGTTTGCGTTGCTATTTTTTGATAAAACTTTCGCTCTTGAAATACCAAAATAAAGCTCCGTGGAGAATAACTTTAAAAAACGCACCTTTTTAAATAAAATGCCGCATCTCATCTTCAGCGTCTCAAAACGTTTCAACTTAAGTAACTTTATCAAGTACTATCATAATTTAAATAGCATGACAACAACTTATGTATTATCTCATTTAACCCATGGAATTAGCAGTATATGAGCATAAAATATTGAGGATATAGTAAATTTTTGATGATCTTGACGTTATTAAAAAATAATAAAAAATTATAACGGGAATCGTAAATTTTTTTAACAATAAGACAATGAAAGCATATTAACTATCCAACCAAGAAATTAAAATAAATAACCCCTCCAAACTTGTTTGAATATAATTAACCAAAAAAATTCGCAAAAAATTTAGTGGTAAAAGAGGTATACCATCTAAGGAACCTGCTCATCTTATGCAACCTTTCCAGATTCAAAAATGGTTTGAAAATCAAATTTAAATATTGAGTGCATTATTATTAGTGACCACGGCATCAAAACTCTGTAGGTTGGCCTAGTGATATCATGCAATTTATTTAAAAGATAATTCAACAATTCTATATTAATGTAATTATCCAATCTGAAATAAATCTGGTATATAATGAAACTAATAAAACCTTTATTTTCGCTACTAAAATATTTTTAGTTCAACAGCTTACTTGCATCTGATGTTGCAGTGGCTCTGCGTCTATTTATATAGCTAATTCCTTCACCAGCATCACTGTTCTAGAAAAAGTAAATTTATTCCAATTAAAAGTTAAATATTTCTAAATATTTGTTAAATTAGTTTGAGATTATTTGAGGTTATGTAGATTAATACATCTGATCAACAAGGGTAACAGTGCTCAGAGTGTAAGTAATTTATTTATATATTATTTATATAGCTAACTTTATCGCCAGCATCACTTTTCTAGTAAAAGTAAATTTATTCTAGTTAAAAAATTCAAAATATTTGTTAAATTAGTTTGAGAGGCCAGTTTCAGGGGCGTTTACAGGAATTTTTTGGGTAAGTCTCGAAAAACTGTTCCCCCTCCCCCTCCCTGGTTTTTTTTTCAGCTTTTTGTTATAAAAATGTTTTAATAATTCTTTAAATGACTTTTTTTTTTTTTTTTTATAATTTATTTCGTCACTATATATTTTACATACAACAAACTTTAATTCGTGTATACATTTATAAATAAGATAAAAATTAAAATAATGACAGGAGCAAGTAGAAGACTGCAGTCTTATCATCAAGCCCCTTTCATTTGGGATTTTTCAATAAGTTTCACGTGAGATTAACGTGACATTAAAAATTCATAAGTAGAAATAAAGCAAATACTTAGCCTTGTAGGTAAAAAACAAAGCCTTGTACGTAACGATCTGATAGATGAAGATAGAAAAGAAAAACTATTTGTATTGTGATATAATCATCGTTTGTGGTTATAACATTGCTAAAATTGTTGCTATATAAAGCTCATAATATGATTTTTGCAAACTAAAAAAAATATTTTTTGAATATACAGGTTATATATTTTTGTATATACAGGTTATATTTTTGTATATACAGGTTATATTTTTTTAAATACAAAATTTTGCTGTGTAAATTTTTTTATATAATTTTATAAATTTTAATTATCAATAAACTTTATAAATACTTCAAGCTTATTTTAATAAATGTACAATGCCTAATTTTTACAAAGATGTCTGGCTATGGAAAATAGCTAAGAAGCTTTTTGAAATTATATTTTTATTAAATTTAAATTTCATTTAAAACAACTCATAAGTATTTATAACAAACTTGTTTACTATCTATAGACTCTGTGTGAAAAGCTAAACTAAACCATTAAGACTTTATCTACCATTTTGCTTTGCAGCTTCTTTTTACTTTTCTCTTATAACCTTTAAGGCGCCTCAGTAAAGAAAAGGTTTGTTGCTTGTAATGTTTCAGTATTATTAGATTGGAGTTCATTCTTGAAATTTAGACAGTTGAAAATTTAGACAAGTGAAATTTAACTAAACTTTACCCAGGTCAAAAGCACGTAATAAAGCCTTTGGTTTGGCAATAATAAATAAACTTAATAAAGCCTTTGGTTAAATAAAAGAGACTTAAAGATATGATGTGGTCTTTGCAATTGTATAACAAAACACTGAATTTCTGCAATTTTTTTTTAGAAGAAACTGAAGATTTAGAGGAAACAAAGAAATTCAAAGATAGGAAAGGGATTATTCTAGACCGTTTTTGACAGCGCCAACCGTATTTGAGCGCATAATTAGCCGCCATTCAAATTGAAATTAGAGGAACTTTTTTTTTTACATATTTTACGGAAAATATTTTTTCCGCAAAAAAACGCCGATTTTCTGCAAAATTTTGACGGAACGGGGGTATCACCGCCCAAATTGGTTTCCTAGAATAGGCTCTGACAGGACCTTTATAACACTTTAAAATTGTATCACCAAACATTGTGTTAAACTCAGTATTCAGATGGTCTAGTAAAGAAACAGTGATAAACAATTTAAAATAATTTAAAACGCAATTTTTAGGCTTGTTTAAAGCATATTTGGAAGTGTCGATTAAAAATATTTTTAAGCATAGAGACACAATCTTTTTTTATAATTACTTGCTTGCACGATCGTGTAATTAAAAAAGTTATATTAAAACCATATTTGCTATACACAGTGCAACAATAAAATCAAAATTTGTTATCAACTTCAGTAGAAAAAGCAGTAGCAGAGGTTGTACCATTAAATATTCTACTGATATTTTATGACATTCTTTGAGACAGAGAACTACAGGAATAAAAAACTTCTGTAAAGTATCTATTATGTAAGTAAGTAAAGCCACGATTTCGCACTTCATAATATCCAAAGAAAAGTAAAAGTAAGTTTTATTATTTATAATTTATAAAAAATTAGTAATAGGTTTTATTAAAACATTAATTAAACAAGTTTTTCCTTTATGTGGTTCATCATAATTCCTATTATGGTTCTCATGTCTCCCATAAAGGATAAAGAATATGGCTAAATAAAAATTTATACTTAATAAGTCTAAAATCTGGAAATAGACATTTCTAATTTTTTGCTACAAATGCTTGAGTATCAAAGAAAGCCAAGGAACAAACACTAGTGTTTATCGATGCAATTATAAACAGCTTCTTCTAGTAATAACTCTCTGTCTTCCTTTCTTTTATCCAAAGGAAAACGCGATATCAAAAATTCTACACAATTATTATAATATTTGATCGCCTAACTTTAAAAGAATGATGTTTTCTTTAACGGACTAACTTTCCTTTGAAATGCTGTATAAACTTGTGAATTAAGCTATATTTTGAACTAATTAACGGCCATATTTTATGTTTAATAAAATTCAATAATTACTTAACTCAAAAGTTATTTTAACCTCCATTCAAATATTTTAATTATTATTTTTTAATAATTGCAAAATTATGAAACTGAAATACTATTATGTTTTCTGGTTTTACATTTTTTTCACTGTTTCAGATGTGCATAATTTGTTTAATTTTTGCAGTATTTTGGTTTTAATAGTTACTTATAGTAAAACTTTTTTCAATTTGAAAAACTTTAATTTAATTTTTTTGGGTACGTCCAACGACGTAGCAGACATCCCCTAGACACGCCCCTGAGTTTGGTTTATATGTTATTTAGATTAATACACAACAAGGGCAACACTGCTCAGAGTGTAAATAAAAAGTTCCTAATAAAAAATTTTGTCACCCCTCCCCTACCGTATTGACCTCTAATATTTTTGCATGATTTTTTCCTACTTTAGTTTCAGGATTTTCTTAAAATAAAAATATAAAAATGTAGTCTATTTGCAATTAAATGAACCTTTAGCCTTTAGGCTTCTAAGAAGGATTTTTTAAATTAAATAAAAATGTTTTTATAAATAAAATTATTTTTATTAATTTATAATTTCGATGCGTAACACGATTAATGTTAAGTAAATTTTGGCATTAAATTTGAGAAAATAGTTTATTTTCATTTTGAAATAAAAAAATATATTGTTTCGTAAAACTTAATGCCAAAACATTTATATGATATAAATAGCCAATGCGCATTTTTCTACTTTTTAGTGAAATTCCAAAACCAATATCTATCCATATACCGAAAGGTAGAGTTAAAACATATGTTGACATTTTAAATCTGATGTTTTTCCTGTTCAGGAAGTGTTTTTCAGTTTTTTTAATTTGTTTGCGCTTTAAGTGTTTATTTTAACTAATATTTACAAACAAATAAATATTTTTTCCCGCTTATCTCACTTTACGAAGGTGCGAATAAAAAAAAGTTGTAAGTTGATGAAATAAATTTATAAAATATTATTTTATTTTGTTTTTAATGTTTCAAAAAGATTTTCACATTATGACGTGTCTGAAAAAAAAAAAAAAATACAGTTTATGTCTAACTTAGTTGGCTTAAAAAACATAAAATAAAAAAGAACTTTTTTACTTTTATGTCTGAACAACTTTATTTTAAATAATATTTTTCACAAAAAGCTATGAAACGGAAACTAAATACTGACACTTGATTCCATAGTTAGTGTCACTAATTTACAAAAATAACATAAATACACTTTTAGTGACCAGAAGTGCTTTTTTAAATATTATTTTGAACTGGTGTTTTTTGTTCACTTAAATAAATCTCAATAAAAAGACTACAATTCTAAAGAATGATTTGAATTTTTTGTAAACGGTGTGAAAACTAGTAAAATGGCGTGAGTTTAAGTTTTGTGATGCAAAACGGTGAAGTGTGGTTTGAATCAATGGGAAAAAAAAATTGTTGTAAAGTAAAATGAGTTTCATTGAAATTAAGTTAAATTTAATTAAATTTTACAAATTTGACACAACAACATAATACCAATCAACTTACCAATCTCATTCTTAAATCATGTTCCTAAAACAAAAAATATTTATTAATTTCATATACTTTTTTAAATTAAAAAAAAACTTTTATTAAGTAATTGTTACGATTTTTGTGAAAAAAGTTATTCATATAAAGAAAATTATAAAAAAGCAGATTTCATCATTTTTAAATTTTTACTAAGTTTATTAAACATAATTACTTAACAGCAAGCAATGGAACAACATACACGTACACACATACCAACATCAACACATACAACTGCGCACTCACGCATAAAACAGGACAAGATGACGAACATTTTGAAAACCTTTAATTTTTGCGAGTCTGTCATGGAACAGTAATATTTTGTCAATATGTTTATCTTATCTTAATGATTTATTGCAGCATGAGTTTTCAGTTTAGAATTGGAAGAAGTTTTAATAACATTTTTATTGAATTTTCGAAACTGCCCACTACTTTACCAGAAATATTACAAAATAAACTCACGTCGCAATAAAATAAACTTAAAAAAGTTCTATCCGTGGAGTACTATCAATTAGCAATAACCCTAAACGTATTATTTTTTTTTTCAGCTAATAAAAAACTTACGCGAATAAAATCACATTAACAATAGAGGAATGTTCTTAAAACGCACTCTACCCTCAAAATGTACTTCCTATGATATCTAAAAAATGTGCTAAATAAATGCGATAAATATTGTTTTATTTGATAGATGTTGCGACAGTTGTACACATTTGATATCAAAACCATGCTTATGTCAGACTTGAACTTGCACAAAGGAGAAAAGTTTTAGCACTACTTTCACTACCCAACGAGCACGGAAAAAAAGGCGTCTCTTGAACGTTTTGAACGTCTTTTGAAAGTTTAAAAGATGTTTTTTTCAGATCCTGTGCCCACTGGGTAAAGTTTAGCACTTTTCTAAAATTGTTTATAGTATTTCAAAACTTTTTATCAGAAAGCCTAAACTTGTTTAAACAGATGTAAGCAATGTCGAGGCTTATTATTTTTAATGTTATGGCTTAAATATTTTTAACACAGTTTCCACATGAATTCTGAGAACAAATATTCGTTAAACTAATGTCTTTATTAATTGAAATATTCAGGGTTACCAGTTTCTAAGTTGTAACATGCCATTCCATGTTTTGAGTCGGCATTAATCATGGATCTTGCTTTTAAAAAGAACATACAAAATTTATTTAAAAAGTTTTGTAAACGCTACATTATTTAGAAAAACTGGTATTTTAAAACACAAGCTATAAATACAGTTCTATTTCTAGCTTTTTTTTTTTTTAAGTTTTTATTCGGCAATTTATTTTACCCCGTCTTACACACAAACACACACGCACATACTTAATATACAAGATTTATCAAAATAATGTATATATTATATAGTAATAAAAATGTTAAAAAAAACATCTATAAACCTTTTCTAACAGTTTTTGATACTTTCCCAATTTGAAATTAAAATCTTTTCTTTCATGATCATGCAACATTTTATGGCTTGAGGCGTCTGAAAATTTTCTTACGCAAACAGTATCTTCAGAACACTTTTCTAAATCCGAAGTTGAAGAATATCTAACAATTGCGTACGTAACACCAAATCCGTTTTTGTTCATTTCAAAAGCAGTCATTTAGCTATTATTTGAAACTTGCTAACAAAGACTATACCACAGACTATATCATAAAACGATACAAACTAAATATTTTTTTTTTAGCGTTAATGGAATTTTTACGTGAGTTAGTAAAAATAATATTGACTTTTAATTTTAACTTTATTATTGACAACTGACAAAATGGTTACTTTTAACAGTTTCGGTTCACATGAAAGTTATAACTAAGCAAGAAGCATGTTTACTTTAATATTCTTAAAAATATTTGCATAACGGATAAAATATGAATAACACACAACAGCTTGAGAAAAAAAGGTTGGTATTTTATTTTCATCAAAAACGAAGGCAATACAATTAATATTACTTTATTATCTGAAAATGAAGCCAAATAATTAAAAAAGGAGGGGTTAAATTTAATCGAAGACTATTATTACAGAGTATTACCAAGAAAACGGCTTTAGGATTACAAAATGAAGTTAAGTATTGACTACTCTGCTTAATAATATTTTTGTAATACATTTTATGTTTATTATGTAAGCAGTTTAATCAAAAAAATGTTTTTGCTCGAATTAAAATTGAAATTAAAAAACTGAATGGGCATTAGAGCGAACATTAAATATTGTGTTATAAAGCTAGATCAATTATAATTTAAATAAATGTATTTATGACGTAAGCAGTGATTAGGGTTTTAATGACAATTGTTGTACATTGATTTTAAGTCACTGATTTGTTATAAAATTGTTACATTGTGAATAAATTAAAATATTTAAAGAACTATTGTTCAATGATAAAGTTTGAAAGCTAGTTTAAAAAAATTGTTTTTTACTTTGTTAATTACAACCATATAATTCCATTAAGTTAACTTTACATTATTAAAATAGAGGTAACTAGAAGAAGAGTAAGAAAAATTGAATGAAGAAATTAGAAAGTTATTTCGTTAATAAGTTTTTGTTATAAGACTCTAAACATAAAAAACATTTTAAAAAATTGTTGTCAAGTAACTTATTGTTAATTATTTTTTACCATGGTTTATCAAGATCATCAGATGTTGATAAAGAATTATAAGACTTTTTACCAAGTCGTTACAAGTTTTTTATAAAATGGCAAAAAAAAAAATAAAACTAAACTAAGGTTTTGACACGGTTAAACAACTGCTTCTACTTAACTACATCTACTACTGCGCTCAATTAAACTTATGTTTTTGTAATTTAAAATCCCAAATTAAATTTGATTTGATAATACATATATTGACGTCATTAAATACTTTCAAAATGAGTAGGCTACCTTTAAAAATATTAAAAAAAAAAAAAAATATCTTTCGTAAATTTTTTGATTATACAAGTCTGATCATCAATATTTAACTCGAAGAATTGTTTTGTCTCGTGTTAGTAATGTATCTACTTTGACTTGGTATTATCACAATAAAATTCTAAGAAACCGCACATTTCGTTTGTCTAAAATGATTTTAGTATAAGCTTCGATATTCACGTTAGACTTTATGTAAACAAGAGTATATATTTACGATTGCAAAATAATATTACTTAAATTCATACATTTACGATATAAGTTTACGAAAGCGAATATTATTATCATGTAAAATTTCTGAAGTGTTTTTAGAATTTATCCAATAAATCAAAACATCTTTCTCTCTTTTTTTTTTTTTTTTTTTTTTTCTTTCTTTTTTTTTATTATCTAAAGTATTTCATATGTTTTTTCATTTTATTATATTTTTTGTTTAGTTTTCAAGATTTCCTGAAATACTTATTGATAAAAAAAAACTTCGAAATTTGTTGATTTTAATAATTTAATATTTTGGGAAAGTTTACCTGAACAAGTTGAATTTCGTTCTAGTCGACGAGAAATTACGTCATATTTGAAGAATGTGTCATGCAATTCATTGGCTTCAAATAAAAATTTTTCTTTTTTAATTAAATCGAAGATATCTTACAAATAAGTTGTAAAAAATTTATCTTATGAAAATTACTTGATGAAGTTTGATTTTGCTGTAGTATTTTATTGATAACATTATTTTTATATAGTTATCTAATTACACTGCTAGACTTTTAAAACAATGTTTCTAAAACTACCGCCTCCAATTTTTAAATTGGTTCCAACATCCAAGGCTACCTTCCCATAAACCTCAATCATATGATTGGTTCTAACGTTTAACTACCGCTATAAATTAGTTATATTGTGATAACTATTTCAAAGTTTAAAACTTTTTTAACGATTTGCAAAGTTATTTATACTTTGTTTAATTTTTAGTCACTTGCAAGTTGATTTTCTTACATTAGGCACAAGTTTATAATCTTACATTATTAGGTTTTTGAATGTACTGTATGTGGTTAATCGCTCGGCAGTGTCATTTAAACATTGAATTATTAAAATAAATATTTTAAAAATTTTTTGAAAGTGTATCACTAATCCATTTCCTTTATCTAGATTTTTTTTTTAATATTTCTTAGGAATCTTTCATAACTTTAAATGGAGTCATATTTATGTAAACCTGTTTATGATTATCAGGTAACTTTGGGTGTTAATCTACTATATCAAAGATGACTTAGGATGTTAATCTACTATATTAAATAACCTTAAGCAGGTCGGAAATATCCGCGATAATGCTAACACAAACGGCTTTTAATCATATATAGAAGTTTCTTTTTTTTAATTAAAACCCGTTATATCCTTTGATTTAAGAATTATTAACTGCTATTAATTATTTATTAATAACGGGGAGCATTATTGGAACACTCTTTTAATACTAAGCTTTAATGTATTTCTTGGTTTATGTACTGGTTTATGTTTCTGGTTATGAATGTCTTGGTACCATAATTGATTTTGACCATGAATAAGAGATGTTTTACAGTGAGTCGCTTACTAACTCATGATATATGAATTTATGTTTTTACAGGTTTTTTTTTAAAAATCTTAATTTTTTTCTAAAAATGTCAATAATTAATATTAGCTGAAAATTCGTTCGCATTTTTAAATAATGATCAAATTTTGATTATAATGATCAAAGTAATATATTGTTACTATAGTTACTATTGTGTAGAGCTGGGGTATTAAACTAGCTAAATATGACTTTTAATGTGTGGAGTGCTATAGCTGTTATATTAGCCGACTGATTTCATTTTTATTATTCTTTGTTTTCTAAAATACAGCTTTAAAAATGTATAAAAAAAAAACGCTATTGTAATTTAAGATTTTTGTTTCACACCTTTTACTTCAGGTTTTAGCAGGTTGCACTTGGCTTTCCTTCTCTGGAGTTTGCTAAAATAACTGATTTTTAAAAGCTAACAATACAGATTATATATAAATAAATTTGTATTTTAATAAATTTTTCAGATAATATATCAAATTTAATTGTTATTAATGATTTATTTACTAAAAACCCGTATTTTGGGTTGCTTAATGCTAATATATAGAAGTTTCTTTTTTAATTAAAATCCATTATATCTTTTAGGTTAAGAAAATTTGAGTTATACATTAGCAAACATATTTTTTCACATAGTTGCTGCTGCTTTTAGCTTTTAGTGTCAATTATAAGTTTGTTTATTGTTACTAATTTAACTCAGATTATATTAGGTCGGTAAATAAGCAAAAATAAAAAGTTTTTTTGAAAAAAAAGTTTGAAAAAATTGTCCTCAAACTTACATAAACACTCATTAGTTAAAATTTTTTTTAGGTTAACTTTTTCTTATTTTTATTGCTAATGTGAATTTATATAAATAAACTCTTATAAAAAGTTTTATTTAATATTTGCATCTACTAAATATCTTTGTGAGAATAAGAGTACATTTTATCATGGATATCAATATTTGTTGCGTCAATAAAAAATTTAAAGTTTTTGAATGTTTATTACTTCATCGTAATGGAAAACAACTTGTTACTGGGCTTGAAACTAATGCATTAGTTTTATCCCCAATTTTTTATTATAATGAAAAAATGTTAAATTAACAAATTATGTAACAATTTATTAAATGCACAAATTTTGTGTTGGTGTTGGCGTAGGCATTTTTATTTACATAACAAAAATATTAACTACTTTTTGAATCAATAATCTGAATGCAAATAATACAGAGGTGAGTTTTGAGTTGTTATGCGTTGAAGGAATATTTTGGTATTATATTTGTTTAATGAGAAAACATGTTTTGTCATTAAACAAATATAATACCGATAATTACGGTTTTAAATCAAAACTAACACCCCCTCAATGTACCGAGCTTAACGACTTTGAAAATGACCTTTTAAATTTAGTAAAATCTCTCAAATTTAGAAACATAAACAATCAATTTCAAACAAAAAAAAATAAAACAAAAATATTTTTAAAATTGTAACTAGCAAAGAAGTTCATATCTTTGCTGTTAAAACCAATAATCTGTTTAAAATAATAACGAAATATTTAAAAAAGCCGTTTTCTTTGCCACTTTAACAGACCAGCAGCATAGAATCATAAAACAAAAAAATCCCTCCTCTACTACAACAACAAGGGGATAAAAAAACTGAATCATGAAAGTTTTGATTTAACAATAGACAGCTACAATAGCGCTGAACTTTGTGAACTTGTAGGGATCTACATATATGTAGGGATCTACATACTCAACGAGCTATCCAATATAATTATAAAAATCAACATAGGATTTTACCATGGTGATGGCTTGTTGATAATACGCAATTCTAATGGCTAAGAAATGGAGGAATGCGGAAAAACATAATCAAAAAGTTTAAAGATATAGGATTTCAAATAGACATAAAAACAAATCTTAAATCAGTTAACTTCCTTAATTTCACCTTTAATTTAGCCTAAAACACCTATAAGCCTTTCAAAATATCCGAAGACAATCTTTAATACATTCAGACATCTTCTAATCACCCTCCACAAATTCTGCACTGAAAAATATCGAAAAAGTTACAAAAACCACAATAACAAAAATTATCTTCCCAATAATTGAAAAAAATGACCCAAAATGCAACTGCAGAAATAAAACAGAATGCCCCCGTAATGGTAAGTGCAAATCCATTATATACAAATGTATTTTCGTAGCTAAAAACTAACCCAACAATCTCAATATTGGGTTAACGAAAGGTGAATGGAAAACCAGACATAACAACCGCAAATCATCATTCAGTAATGTTAAATACAAAAAGTTGACCGCCCTATCAAACTACGTCTGGGATTTGAAAAACAATCTTAACAAAACCCCTACAGTCTATTCTGAAGTCAGTAACCCCTACTCGGGTATTTCCAAAAGTTGTCCACTATGTTGGTATGAGAAATTTTCTATTATAATGTATCCAAAACATGATAAACTGCTAAATAAAAGGACCGAAATTATATCAAAGTGCCGCCACGAAAATAAAATTTTATGAAAAAATTACAAACCTCGCTACAAACCTAACTAACAACTAACAACAACTATATTACTCTACTTCATATATCTTTACAGGGCCGACGACACGGGTTTTCAAGTGGGGCCACAATCATCAATTTTTGAAAAAAGTCCTCTATATCGAGATTTTTCTTTACAAAAAAAAAAAAAAAAAACTTTGGGAAAACCCCGGCCCCCTTCCCCGGTGTTGTCGGCCCTGCTTTAGGCTAACTAATAAATTACTCACATACATAGCTATTGTAATATACTTCATAATATTATTTTTATTTTTATGTCAATTTTCAATTGTATATATTTTTAATATATAAATAATGCACATTATCACATAAACGAATATTTTAAACAACCACTAAAACTCAGAGTTGCAATATCAAATTATATTATAAACAATAGCATTTAGCTAATTACTGGTACTGCAGGTAACAGTAACATTATACTATATATATATATATATATATATATATATATATATATATATATATATATAATATATATATATATATATATATAAAATATATATATACATCGGTTAGGAAGGAGGCGTGAACTTCTAATTAAATGCTCATCCGCGGTGCTCTGTAATAAGACCGTAAGGACTTCTTGGGGCACCTAAAATAAAAAATAAAATATATATATATATATATTTATTTAGGGTAGGTTAGGGTAATATGAGCACCTTGGTAATATGAGCATACTAAAAGATTTCTTAGATCTAAGCAGTGAAGTTAAAGTTGCTTTCTATTTTTTGAATCGATTTTATGTGGTGATAAAAGGAATCAGTATAATTAGAGTAAATAATTAGCAGGTATCATCTAATTAGCAGGTATCATCTAATTAAAACGCTATCAAATTTTTTGCGTTGTTTAAATAATATTATCACACATTAATAAATCTGTGACGCGAAATTTTGGTGCTCAAAGAATGAAATTTATTTTTTCATGAAGAAAAATAAGTAAGCTAGAAATCCGTTACATTTTTGTTTAAAAAACAATGCATAGAAACATTTAGTTTTAGCTTTACTTAAAGACGCCATTTTTGTGTAATATGAGCATGATCAAATTACCCAGTGTTTTTCATTGAAATTACCTTTTTTAAAGTCCTAATATCGCAGTAAAGTAAAAAATTTTAATATTTCAGCAATACTAAATAGTTTTCTGTAATTTAAATTAAAAAAATTTAATTTTGTTATCGTTTAAAGGTTTGAGGTAATAAAATTGAAAAAGTAAAGAACTTTTTTTTTTTTTTTTTTTTTTGCGGAAAACAAAATAGTATTGTTTCAATAGAAAGTGGTTTAAAATTTGATTTTTTAATGATAAGTTTTGTTAATAACAAATCATTTTATTCCAAAACTTAGTTATAATTGACAGGTTGGTATTTTTTAAAAAAATAATATTATTTATTTATCATAAATAATATTATTTTTTTAAATAATGTTAATTTATAGTTCTCATATTACCAAGTGGTCTGGGTAATACTTATGCTACTTTTTTAAAACCTCTGAGTTTTTAAGAAAAAATTTCGGGTGCCCAAATATCTATGTGGATCATAAATAGGGATTCCTAAAAATTGTTTATTCGCAAAAGTTTTGGATCCAGCGTAATTATT